AGGAAAATCAGATCCTAATGAAACGTTTGCCTCCCCCCTCCCCCCGATATTGGCAAAGCACCACTAGGGCTTGAAGGGCTTGAAGCCTACGAACACCTTTTGGAGAACGAAAAGTTCGGCTGGCCAAACACCGAAGAGAAACATTTTCATACTTTTTCATCAGAAACCATATAATTAGCCAGGAGACAGGCTGCTGTTTTTCATATCTGAGAATTCTGGAATTCCAAGGTTTTTAACTTTTTTTTTGTTGAGCCATTTAAAAGCGTTCAAGATGCTTTTAAAACCCCCTAAAAATGCTATTCCTCACCGAGTAGTGCTTGTTGCAGCTGAGGAACTCCTGGGCGAAGCAGTCGACCAGCTTCCTTCCCAACCACCGTCCTTTCGCGTAGGTGCGCCAGACGGACCAGTACGGGTCGAGGTAGCGGATGCCTAAAAAGATGTTTTAATTTTTTAACGTTTCGCAGGTTTACGTTCATTTCGCCGATTTTCACTTCACCGATTTCGCTTTATTTCTGCTAATTAAGTTCGGTTTCAGTAAAAATTCAGTAAAAATGGAATTGAATGTTTTTTGTTTGTATTTACCTTATCAAAATGAAATTAAAGTGGGTTTTAAAATCTCTTTAGCTCGAAAAATCGGCCAAGCTTGAAGGAACTTAAATAAGCATGCATAAAAAATCGGCGAAATGAACGCAAATAGTTTCCCAAACCCTCGAAGCCGATTTTGACTCCCGCTCGTCCTCACACCGAGCGCCTCAACCTCAAGCAAAGAATTCTCAATTTCCGCTTGGACCAACTGCCGCACACGCGCCTTTAGTTCGCTGGCCCCGGGGAAATTGGGACGGCGCAGACTTTCTCGGCTTCAAGCAATTCCTGGTAGCATATTTTCTTTTGGAACGGCTCACGTTTCGCAACTCTTATTTAAAAGGGAACGTTTTCTACGCCATCAGCGCGATTCAATCTGGCCATTTTTAAAGCTAGCTTTAATTCTAAAAAAATAATTTCTTTCATAGCTACCAATAGCCAAAGACCCATGTTTACTTCCTTGAAGCAGCCCCCAAATTAGCTGAAAATAGCTGGCTTTAGCGGGGAAATGTCGAAATTATTTTTGGAAGCGTATTTTCAAACATCAGTGTTGTGAAAAAAAACACTCGTGAAAATTTAAGCTTTAGAAAAGTTATATGTGGTGGGATTTGGGTAATATTTTGGCCATGAATTTACAATATTTTTTAAGAAGCTTGAAGTCGGTAAAAATCAGTGTTTTGATGCAAAAATATATATTGTTCCTATTTTTTAAGTTTTGTAAGGTTTTTACGTTAAGGAATACCAAAAAAAAGCGCAAGGACACGTTCTCGAGATTCATATAAGGAAAATTTGGCCCTAACAAGCCCCCCTCCGATAATGCACAAGAACCAAAAACAGCTGTTTACAACTCGCGTCCACATCCCTTTAGTCGACCCACCGCCCAATCTCAACCGCTCATCTTTGTGCCCAACCCCATTTTCCGCTCGCAGTGGCCACCAACGCATGGCCAAATTCCCCGGGAAATCCATTAGGACTTCTTGCTCTGATCGATGGACCCAAAGGCGTCTTTGCGATTATTTTACGAACGGATTTGGTGGCATAGTCGAACTTTTGTAATGCCGAATCTCCTATATGCTCGAAAGTTCTCGATTCCCAATGCGAAAAATTAAAAAATTTCGTCTTAATGGTTTCAAAATAGGCATTTTGAAATCAGTGATTATGAAAAAATTAGGTATTAAGAGAATTCCGCGCTAAATAGCGGTATCCGAACTGTTTTTTACTGTTTCTAAACGAAAAAAATCACAAATTTTCCCTAAACATTCCCAAAAATCTATCTCGAATTTTCGATCTAATAACCGATTTCGACCAAAAAAATTTGAATCTATTTTCTAAAAATTGTGAGATAGGTTTTCCACTTGAAAGATGGCTAGATTTTACCCAGAATCTATTACGCTACTTGGAATTTCTAGACCTAGGCACACCCACCCTCCCCCCGATAACGCACAAGAACCGGCGATTATTTTGCGAAAAGCCACGCGGAAGGGCAGGGCATCTCTTACTAACAGATGACCAATTTGTCCATTGGCCCCTGGGCCCCCTATTCACCACCCTGAAAATTGCCGACCCGGAGGTCTGTTCTATCCGCATCGGGGAGGCAGTCGAAGGGTGGCCGGTGCCTATTTTCTTTTTCTTTCGCATATTTGCCGGTGAGGAAAGCCAAATATGAGGGCTGGCTATGGGGGTGCCCCTGGCCAATTGCTATCCATTTCGCCCAAGAAAAACGCTCCTTATTCCTGGCTCATCAATGCAAATATATTTTAAAGGAGCCAGCCTTTCAGTGATGGAGCCTCAAAAGAAGCCATTTTTAGATGATAAAGGACTTTACGATATGACTTGAAGGTTCTTGTGGATTATCGGGGGGGGGGGCAATTTTTCTTAGTATCCAATTTTTCTCAGCTGTTTTTTTTTACACCATCTAAACGTCAAAAATGACAAATCTTAAAAAATGAAGATCAGGATTTTTCGACCAATTTCTAATTTTTTAATTTTTTTTTGAGCCTCGGTTGTATAATCTTCCACTTAATTTTTTCTAAAAACTCTATTACATCATTAGACATTCCTAGACTTGTAGAAAAAATTCAATCCTCCGATGAGGAGAAAGAACCGACATGGCTCATTCGATAGAGCTGCAAATTCCGAGCCACTCGCATCTTTCAAAACGCCTGAACGATACTAGATTTCGAGGAAGCATTTCTGAAACTTAAAAATAAGCAAAACGTCGTTTTCAGAAAGAAAGACCGCTTTTTCAGACGAACTTTCAGCGTCTTTCGAAACGTGAAACTTGGTCAGAATATCGGATCCGAATTGTCGCACTACCCCCGCATCAAAATCCTCCAATTTACCCCAAAGCGAACAGGGGTACAAAATTAAGAGTTACCCCCATTTTTTGCATGATTTGACCTCATTGCAATCCTAATCATCTCCCCCTCCACCTCCCATCCATTACCTGCCCGGAAAAAGTGGCATTCTGGAATCCCGGCAATTATCCCCCACGCCGCTACATATCAATTATTTGCAGGCATGGCAAATTCGGTCGGCCCGGCCGTTCGGCCGGGCCGAAAGCCGACTGAATCGGCCACTTCCGGGCCGATTTTCCTATGCTAATTTTTTCGGCCCGGCCGATCGGCTCGGCCGACTTTTGGGGGAATCGGCCGGGCCGATTCGGCCCGGCCGATCATTTATGTCAAAATTAAAAAAAACCCGTAAATCAGTGGGTCCACAAGTTGATGACCACCAACCTCGACCATCAATTTTCGCCTTTAGAAGCCAATCAGCTCCCTATTCATTTGAAGGTTTTTTGTTAACATTCCTTCAAGTTTTTCAGGTCTGCGAACGATTTCGTGACGTTTTACTGCAAGCGCCTAAGCAGCCTGTTCAAGGCGGCACAACAGCTGCCACATGGGAATCAAATGGAGCTTTTCGCGCTCTTGCCAATGAAATCCTTGACTGTCTAGAATACTCAACTTCACATGGGATATGATGATCTTAGTGTAGCGTCAAATTCGGATAACTGTTCAAACGAACGGTGATAACTGTTCGAAGATGCTGGTCATCTACTTGTCATTCCACTCTTCGGGGGGTTAGCTGACTTGAACCATTAATAATATGGTGATCATTTCACCTCAAAAATTACCTTGATCTTCTTGACTAATCACCCCAAACCTAATTGATTTGGAGGTAATCGGCAAAAGCACCAAAGAGAATGCATAATCTTGCGCATTTAACACTGTGTTATATGTGGAAATCGGATGTATCGGCCTCACTCGGCCGATCGGCCGGGCCGACTGAAGCCGAAAAAATCGGCCCTAACAGGGCCGATTCCGGAAATTGTCGGCCGAGCCGAATTCTAAGAGGCCGACATTCAAATTTCGGCCGAAAAAGCCGATCGGCCGGGCCGATTGCCATGCCTGATTATTTGATCCGCCCCGTAGCCAACGAGCCCAGGTTCACGGTTTGAGCCATTTGGAAATGCCCCGAATTTGTTGCAATTCCGAAAATGGGGCTTCAGTTCTACCCTGTAACCAAATCGTTAGCTCAAAAATTCACCATCAACTATCCTAAAGCCGACGGGCATCATTGGGTCCTCCTCCTCTGCCTCGTCAAAGCGCTGTCGTTTTGCCGGTTTTCGCTGAAAAATGGCAATAATCTTTATTTGGAGCTTTTGCAATAAAGGGGAGGATGAAGATTTTTCCTGATCACCCTTATTACTATTTATAACCGTAGAAACATTGCAGATTTCTAATAAAAAACACAAAAAATATCGATTTTTGCGAACCAAAGTGGCCGATTTCCGATTAAAAGCTGAAATTTTCAAGAAGTTTTCTAGTTTTTTCACCCGAAATATAGCTTTAGATAGCTTTTTTTGGCCTATTCCAATTCTTTCAAAGACGTTACTAAGTACGTCTGGACTTATAGCAAAAAAATTGGCTTCCCTCTGGCAATAACAAAGAACCGTACTTTCTTTTCAAAAATCGAAAACCTATGTAAAATAAAAAACCCCCGATCCACTTCCAGAAACACTAAATTTGTCCGCGCAGCCCCACCACCCGTGCGCCCAGCCTTCCTACGCTAATTCAATTATTCGACGAGCGCCTTCTTCTGAAAACTCCCTCACTTTATTTCCTCCTTCAGCTTCCGATCGTCTTTTTCGGTGACCTTTCGGCTCCTCGGCCGGATCGATGTTCTAAAAATTGCTTTAACTCGGGGGAAAACTCCTACTTTTACGCCTTCTGCACTTGTGTTCGCTTCTCTTTCTATGTCGTCGGCCTCGCCGCCAGGCATGTGTGTCCTGAAATATTTTGCATAAATCGGGAGGCCGAGAAAGAGAACAATACATCTGAACTAAGCTGGAATTATGTGTTTTCACGGAATAAACATCGAGCCTCACTTCTGGCTTAAAAGAATTCAATTTTAGCAGGATGCAGGATGAGTTTGTGATGTCATACTGCAATGCATGCCTTGGCTCTACGGATCCGGACTATCAAGTAAGTTAAAAGGGGAATTTTCAAAAATAAAATACGAAAAAGGAATTTTATTTAGTTTTTGGATCAAAATAATCAGTTACGGCACGAAAAGTTTTCGCTGCGTGCATTAGGTGCGAGCGTTATTAGTAGTCAATCGGAAGCTCTATTACAGGATTGAAATCAAGTTAAGAAGTGGAAAACTTTTCTAAAAATTGAAAATAGGGGCTCTAAAAAGTTTTAAAAAGCTTTTGGAGATTAAGAAGTGCAGTATTATGGCTTGGGAAGCTAAATGGAGATCGGTAAACGACCAAAATTGAGTGCGAGGCTTGTTTTTGGTTTTTAAAAGTATAATTTTTCAGACGTACAACTTCGCGGTGTCCGGGGTGCTGTTGGCGCTAGTCGGGCTGGTGGGGCTGGTCGGGAACGTGCTCGTTGTGCGGGTCTACCTCTCACGCTCACAACGCATCCACTCGACGCCCATCTACCTGGCCGCGCTGGCCACGTCCGACTTTTTCTTGATCCTCACCGCCATGTTTCTGTTCGTGCTGGAGGCGTGGCGGCATCACAATTATCCATGTAAGTTTATTGACAGATTAATGACAAATTTAATTTTAAGTCATATCCGCAGCATTTTTTGCTGTGTTTTCCTCAGAAACCATCAAAACAATCCTATTTTTTTGTCTTATAATTACAGCTTTGTTCTTTGCTCTAGAGCGCTCTATCGACATTCCTTTCCAGTTCTGGCGTGGCTCTACACAACCGGTGCCCCATTCATCTTCCCGTTGGCCGCCGTTTTTCAGACGTCTTCAGGTACGGGGATCACGTGCGGGCATAATTTTTGGTGGAAACCAGAGCGGAATTCGCTATTTTGAAATTAATAAAGGGTAAAGGGATGTTGCAAATACGTAGAAGAGAAAATTACAGCGCCTAAACCATAATACAGTTTAGAAAAACATAAATTCTTACCTATTTTTAGTATATCTCTGCGTGGCAGCCGCTGTCGATTGTTTCATCACGGTCGTCTTGCCAACATCTGTACGCCAACTTTATTGCACACCAAGGTATAACTAAAACCCATTAATTGACGCTAAAAACCCAAATTCCAGGCGCGCCAAAATCACCGTCATCTGGATCATGAACTTTTGCGTTTTCTACAACATCCCGCACGCATTTGAGATTGAAAAGGTGGGCGGAAGATTTAAAACTCAATTTTAGAAAGAAAATCGATAAATTTATGTGAAAATATATTTAATAAAGTGAAAATACAGTTTTACAAAACATCTTCAGGTGCCGTGCATCGGGGACAACGGGTTGAGCTCACAAATTTGCCCCACCGACATTCGGAAAGACCCCATCTACTACACGATCTACTACACCTACATGTATACCACTTTTCTGGCCGTTGGCCCGTTGATTCTGTTGATTCTACTGAATATTTGTGTGGTGTACACGGTGGTGACGCGGAAAGAGGATAATGGAGGTTTGTAAAGTCAGGGCATCGTTGTGGTAGTTAAAAATAGGTTTTTGAGATACCTTGAAAAGTGTATTTTATAGTCTATAAGTTTTACAGGCTTAATCGAATCGAAATGAACTATATTAGGTTTTTCTCCGTAACGTAAGGTATAAAGGTGTAATATTGCGATTTTCATTTTAATTAGTTATAATAGTTCTATTAAATTTCAGGGAATTTAAAGGTATAAAAGCTACTAAATTTTTTTTCTGGCTTTTTCTTTTGTTTAAATCTCGCTAATTTCAAAAGCTAAGTCTGAAAGTGCAGGTTAAAATTGTAAAGCGATATTAAAACTTAGACCAGCTTTAATTTAAAGTTTAATAGAAAATTCGAACGTTTTAATGTTCTTTTTAAGAAGAATCCGACACGGTCAGCCTAATCCTCGTCGTGTTCTTCTTCATCTTTTGCAACTTTACGGCCCTGCTCGTCAACTTCCTCGAGTTGATATTCATGTACCAGGTGGGTCAAGTAAGCAAATTTTCAATACATTTTTATCAAAATTTTAGCTGGGTGATATCCTGGTGTATCTCGTCGATTTGTCGAATTTGTTGATTGTCATCAACGCGACGGCAAACTTTTTCTGTTATTTCCTGTTTGGAGTGTCGTTCAGGTACGGTTGCTTTACCATTTTGGCAAGCATAAGCCAAAGTTAAGCCTAAGCCTAAGCCTTAATCCAAGGCAAGGCCTAAAAAACCAAATTTTTCATTTCAGAAGAACACTCATCGCCATTCTGCGACGACCAAAAGTGAAAAATACCGAAATCATCTGGGAAAACGGCGCCACAAAAATGACGGACCCACACACACTTTCAACTTTTCTCTAAAAAACCTATATTTTTCTGTTTTTTTTCCCCCTTCATTTTTGTTTCTATAACTTCCCGGTGCTATCTAGCCTTTCCATGACAACTTTCAACTTAAAATTCTGTTTTAAGCTAATTTAAATCCCGATTTCCGTAAAATGCTGAAATGCCGACAGGAAAAAAATCCCGACAGGCAAAATTTAGACGTACAAGATCGTTGTTTAAAAGGGAAAGGCATTCACGCCAGCGTCAAAAATTGTCCTGAATCTGCCGGTCGGTATTAAGGCTGGAATTCCTGGATTCCCCTCTGCAACTCTAGACACTCGGCCCTCTCCGCCAACGTGTGATACGGTTTCTCCCGGATTCATCGGAATCTCGTGTGTTTGTTTCGAGCCCCAGTTTTGTGTGGCATTTCATGATTTTCGAAGGTGTTTTTTCGGTGTTTCCCCGTGTTTCCGCATTTTTATTGCGTGTATAAATTGTATTTAAAGTTGGGCTGTGGCGATGGAGGGATTGGGAAATCAGAAAAGCTACAGGATCGAGCCTTCACAGGCCCTTTAAAATTCATCCAGGCTCGAATTCAAGGTTGGAAATGGTAAATATAAGAAAAACAGGTACGGAAACGGTATTCGGTCGTTTGCTCTCTCTCTCTCACTCTCTCTTTCTCTCTCCCTTCTCTCTCTCTGTCTGTCTCTTTCTACGTAATGACTTAATAACTTCATCATCCCCATGCTCCCAACTCGTAGACCAAGGGACCAGCCTGGCCAATCATAGACTTCTTCTCCACGGCCCCCATTTTCTCATTGGCGCCACACTCTTCGCATTTCCTCCGGGATCTCGTTCTCACTTTGCGGGCTCCATGGCCACACCATCATCCCCGGTCCGTTTAACAGCAGCAACAGCCGCATTCTCTCTCTCTCTCTCTCTCTCTCTCTCTCTCTCTCTCTCTTCCATTCAGCGACCTCTTATATCCAACCCCAGCTTGGCCATCACCATTATCCACTGGCTGGCCCGCTGAATCGAAATGACCAGAGGCGTGGAACGGAATTTTGAAGTTTTGAGGTCTATATCTCGCTCTCGCTCGCTCTCTCTCGCTCTCTCTCTCTCTCTCTCTCTCTCTCTCTTTCTCTCTCTTTCTCATTTTCAAAGAGCTAGCTTGTATCGTGTTGGAAGCGTATAGCTAGCTAATCCTGAGACCAAGCCTATGCTTATGCCTAAGCTGAAGCCTAAGCTGAAGCCCAAGCTGAAGCCTAAGCTTAACCTAAGCCTAAGCCCAAGCCCATGCCTGTGCCTAAGCCTAAGCCTAATCCCCCAGCTTACCCCTAAGCTTATGCCTATGCCTAAGACAAGCTCGAGCCAATCCCCGTTTTCCATCGCGTAATCCCCATTGTCCCTTCAGAGACGAACTCCCCCGGTGAAGGCGTGGCTGTCAAGCAAGCGGCCACTTGGCACCTCACAAGTGCCAGCCGAGTGCCACACACACGCTCTTGCTCGACACACTCTTGCTCGACGTAAACTGTAACATTAGCCCGGCGGGGTCGTTTGGAGGAGTGCCCCGTTCGGCCCTAAACTTGTCGGCGGCCCCGCAAGATGATCATTGTCGCCCATGAGGATTTAGGATTTCGGAGGTCATAGTTTGCAAATTGGGGCCATTGGGGCGAAAAAAAAAGTTTGTAGAATTTTTCGAAACAGAATTTAGCGACGATTTAGCATTTAGCTTGCAAAAAGCCTGTTTTCAAGATACCACATCCGAAAAACGTCGATTGTTCAAATAACCAACTTCTATAAGCCTGGAAAATTCCAATAGTCTTTTTTTTGCTTTTCGAGCTCTTCCCGCTTGTTTTTCGAATTATTCTCATTTTATGGAGATTGTAATGGGAAATTAATTTTGTCGAGATTTCATTACATTGAAAAGAAATTTGCTACATCTTTGTGAAGGCGAAATTCCGATAAAATTCATCTCTCCCTCCCCTCTCTCTCTCTGTCTCTCCCTCTCTCCTCCCTCACACTCTCTCTTTCTCTCGCGTTCAAAGGCTCTCTCAATATCAAAACCCGATTGAATCCGAAGCCTATGCCTATGCCGGAGCCGAAGCCGAAGCCGAAGCGGAATAAGCCGGTCGCCGAATCTAAGGGTTGAGCTAAGCCTAGGCCTACTCATGTCCTAAGCTCATGCCTATACCCTAACCTTACGCTCGAAACTTTTCCCATTGACCTTCCCCCCTCCCGACCATCAGTTCCGCGACATTCCGCCGTCCATTTCCGTTTCTTGCCATCATTTCGTTCATCTCCTCTGGGGGCAAATGCCCTGTGGGCACATGTGACCCAGGTGGTGCTGTGGCCACGGCCGCCACTTCTTGCCGCGATTAATGGCTTTACCCGGTGGGGTTGATGCTCAAGCCGGTGAGAGAGAGAGAGAGAGCAGAGAGGAGAGAGGGGCTGATTCATTGGCTGTTGTTTGGCAACTTTTGATCGACAGGGTGGAAGCGGGGAATTCAGCGGAATTTGCAGATTAGGCTCTAAAATTCGTGGAGATACGGGGATTACGATAGCGTCATTAGTACGCTGCGTAGTCGCCATAAGAAACGAGGGAAATACGGTGGAAAAGCGAAGTGAAGCCTAAGCCTATGCATCAGCCGAAGCCTAAGCCTAAGCCTAAGCCTAATTAAGCCTAAACCCAAGCCTAGCCTAAGCCAAGCCAAGCCCAAACCTATGCCCAAGCCTAAGTGTCATTAGTACATATCGTAGCCGCTATAAAATTTCACCCATGTTCCTCCTTCCCCTCACCCATCCCAATCCAACTATGGAGATGCGGGTATCCGTTCCTTTACCCACCTCTTTCCACCCATTCCCTCCCCGAGAACAAGACAAGCACAATCTAATTCCACCGGGCCGCCCCGGCTTCAGACGAGCCAACAACACCCGTTATCGCCTTCGATTGTCTTTCCAACCTCCCCCCTTCTCATTCTCATCCTCTTCCTCCTCCCCTCTTCCGAGGCACTCCTCTCATTCCGCTCACCGCTCACGGCCCACCACCCCGGAATATCAAGTAGGGGGCTCGGGGCCGGGGCTTCTGAAGTGGTACTAGCTAATTTTGGCTTCGTTTTGGTAGTTTTACGGCTTGTGCCCTTGGCTCTCTCCTTCTCCGGATTTCTCCCGTTCTCTCTCGCTCAAGCTCGCTCGCTCCGTCTCTCGATCTCTATCTCTCTCATATCTCGCTCTCTCGTTCTCTCTCCCCCTCCATCTCGCTCGTTCGCTCTTCCTCTATATCTCTCGCTATCTGTCTCTATATGTCGCTCTCCTCTCTCTCTCTCTCTCTCTCTCTCTCTCTCTCTCTCCATTCCGCGTAGTTAGGCCCTTCTGATGAGCCGCACGCTACCCCGTACCACTTCTACGGGCAATTCGCGTTTCGAGTATTTTTACGTGCGGTGTCTAGAGTATTTGTGCGGAATGCATGACGAATTTCTATTTTTGGGGTCGGGATTATCGCGGTCGGGAATATAGTTGTCGGGATTTCGGCTGTCGGCATTCGTCGGCATTATGGCGATCGGGACTATCGTTTTCGGGATCTTGGCGTTCGCATCCACAGCCTATATTCCTCATTCCGGCTCACTTTAAATGTTATTTCCGGTTTTAGACCTCGTTTTAAGGTATACCCGCGGCTACAGAACACTCCTCAACACACGCCGCACTCCCATTTTATGGGAATCGGAAGTCGGCCTCGACGAGATCCGGGGTGATTTGAATGTTTCATGTCGTTCTGTCATTTCCCCCCGTCCATGGCTTGTGTTTGGCGATGAGCGATTGGAAACAGCTGCGTGTGCTGTTGGTCGCGGAGCCCCGCGGAAAATCGTCCGGCAAAAAACCGCCCTACCCTCTAGACGACCCCGCGCTATTCGCCACGGGGATTGGGGGACGGGGCTCGAGGCCATCATGGTCAAGTTTTGTCCGAAAAGGGCAGGATTTGGGGGTTTTGTTTAGATTTGGTTACCTTTCCATTCGATTTTTATGTTTTCTTAACATCGTAGGACTTGGATTTTTCGTAAAAAATCTAATCTCACCAATAAAAGTCAAAACCGTGCCGTAAAACTCGTTACAAAAATTTGCCTACCTTGCCACGAAGCTACCTTAATTTTGATAAATTATGTTATGAAAAACCTAGTGATTTTTTGGCAACAAACCGACTATACGATAATTATTGAAGGTTGGCAAAATAAATTTTTCCACGAAATTCGGAAATTCGAAAATCCGAATACCTTTTTGATTTATTTTCAGCGTATTTAATACATTTTTAGTGTTTTTAAGTTGTTTTCAAAACTGACCGTATTTTTTAAAGCTTAAAAAATAGCTTCTTTAAGTTGCGGGGGCATTCTAGAAGTTAAAAATTGGATTTTTAGGAGCAATTTTGCTTTTTTGTGTTGATCCAGCTTTCAAGAACGCTCATTGTTCGATATCTGATCCATTTCGGAATTTCTGAATTCCTTGAATTTAAAAAGTGATAAATATTTTGGATTTCGACCCCCCGAGACCCCGCTCCAAAAACATCCGCCCTCCACCCTCCCCGGAATCCCAAGCATTTTTTTATTTAGATCTCCAGCCTTCTTGCCGGCCCATTCGCCCAGCACACATACACACACGCAGCCCGGGCCGCATTCAATTAGACGATAAGCCGTTTGGGAAGAGGGACCACAATTTTGCACGACCACCACTGCCGGAAAGCGTCTTTCAGGTTAGTTGTGTTTTTTTGGGTTCTTTTGGGGCGTTGAAGAGTGGCTAAGCCTAAGCCTAAGCTTAGCCGAAGCCTAAGCTTAAGTCTAAGCCTAAGCTACGCTTAAGATTAAGCTCAAGCCTACTCTGAGCCTAAGCCCAAGCCTAAGCCTACTCTGAGCCTAAAGCCTAAGCCCAAGCCTAAGCCTAAGCCTAAGCCCAAGCCCAAAGCCTAAGTCTAAGCCTAACAAACTATGCCTAAGCTACAACCCCACCCTAATCCTTTTTTACAGTTCGATTGCGTGTACGCGACCGCA